GAGAAAAACATATATCTTCTTGCTATACACTTATAACTATGCAATATACATACATTTTAATTCGATTCAACTGTATGCAAAGCAAATTTTATAAAATATTGCAGCTAAATAGGCAACGAATTATACAAATGTGCATTATACAATCTCAGTGAAATAGGATAACGAATTATACAATTGCAGTGAAATAGGACAGCGAATTATAGAATTGTATATGTATAGCGAATTATACAGTTTTATGTTTGCTATAGAGCGCAATTATACAAACTTTGTTATAACATACAAATATGAATTTTTTGTTTGCTATATGTGAAAGTTGCCCTTTTTTATATGCTAAGAATTTAAACATTAATATACGCAATAGATTGATTTGATATAATTAATGATTAAAAAGTAAATTATAATACTATATATATACACAATATTAACAGAAGATAGACGATTATTTCTTTCTTTCATTAATAATAGACTACGAGTCCTTTTAATATAATTTATGTCTTTTAGAATTGAAATTCTAAATTTTTCTTACTCATAAGATGAATTGAGATAATAAACTGATATTATTTACGTAAAATTCTGTCTATACATATAATTAAAATGCTATTAATTACTTTTTCGAGGTCTAGTGAGAGTGTGACATATTATTTATCTTTGAAATTTGATCAATAAAATATAAGAAAATCAAAATATATTTTCATTCATATAAACTTAAACATATTATAATATAAGAAAAATCAAAATATATTTTCATTCTTATAAACTTTAACATATTATAATATAACCCTAGTGACTTAAAAGAGTAGTCACAAAATTGATCATTCTTTATATTATACAGTGTAAAAACACTTCATATTTCGGCTTAAGATAAGTAGAATTTCAAATAGGGGGACCCTTAAATGGGTCCTATTGGCTTGGTAACAATGAATATGGACTTAATTATAAATAATTTTGGCTTGGCAACAATGTATATGGACTTAATTACAAATAATTTTGATGTAGAAAGATACATATCATACATGAACCTTGTATTTTGTAAAAAGAAATATATATAACGGCGAGGAATTTATAATTAGTGATGGTAATTGACGTAATGATGGTGTAATGGATAGTAACAAATGGTAGTTTTTACTAAATTGTGATAGCTAATGTTGATTGAGCGACAATAGTAATTATCCATAGTGATTATGGGTGGAAATAATGGTTATGATCGTAAATGGCTGAAGACAGACTGCACTGATTAACAATGATGGTGGATGATAATTGACAATGGTAGGTGATGAATGATGACGATAATGGTGAAAAGGTGAATTTTGTAAATAGTCATCTTTATAAATATTCTTAAATAAACATCTCAATGACATTACTTTATTACATATGTCAATCATTCAAATCTATTCAAGTGATTACAATATTTAAAAAGCAAAAACAGACTTTTTGAATTTGAAATTTGAACTTGATTAAAATTCGAACTATAAAAATAAAAAATATACATATAAAATTCACTCCCTGACATATGGTCAAAACCCAACCTAACAAAAGATAAGAAATACCAACCTCAAGAGTCGTTCTATTATATAAAAAGTAATATATTTATATTTATATTTATATTTAAATACATATTTAAATGTTAAAGATTTTTTTTTAAAAAAAATTCTAAATAATGGGTGAATAAAATTGTTTATAAATTAACTAGTGATTTCTTTCTTAGACGAGATATTGGGTATAAGGTGTATATAGTTAGATATGAGTGACATTACTTAATTACATTATCTCATTTTTAGTCTATTTTTTTTAAAAAATAAAAATTAACACAATTTCATAATAAATGAGACCTTTTTTAGATAATATATTTCTAAATTTTTTAACAATCAAACATTACAAAAAAAATTAAAATATTTTCCTTTCGTACAAACACAAACTAAAAGTTAGACATTTGTTGAAAAAACTTCATAATTTATGTCTACATACAATGAAGCAGTAGCCTTTTTGCCATATCATATATGAGACAAAATGATCCTTTTTTCAAGTGTAATATTAAATAATAATTTTCGCTTTGATACATAAATATTTGGCAAAAATTATAATGAAACAAGAATTTTTTTTTCAAAATTTTAAATTAGGATCCTTGAATTCAATTTTTGAATGTAAAATATTTTATTTTTAAGTTTAAATAATTTTTAATGTGAATTTAAATTTAATTAGATTTTAATATGAATCGAATAACGAATAAAAAAAAGCATGGAGTTACCAATAACCTTCTATTCCAATAATTTGTGTCCTCCGATTCATACTCTTCGATTTACAATCACATCTTTGATAAACTGAAACAAATCCCTATCCTTTCTAATCACCTCTCTCTAATACTTCGGTATACTTCCACCACTTATTATAATATCTTCCGTAGTCAACCTCTCATAATTTTGTACAAGGTATTCATGCATCTCCTCCTTAATTACATGTCGGCATTATCTCAATCTTGATTGTCACATCTTGTCTTCTATCAAAGTCATTTTCACATTGTCACAAATATCTTCATCGTTAAGTCTATCTCTTCTAGTATGACCACACATCGATTACAATAACTTCATTTCTATAACCTTCATCTTCGAAAATATTAGAATTCTTAACTGATCAACGTTGCACCTCATACAATATAATTGATCTAGTTATCTCTGTGTTATATCCTTACTATT